TTTTTTTTTTTTTTTTTTGTCGTTTTTCTTTTTTTCCATATCATCGTGACCTCGACAAACTATGCAGCGTCTGCATTTCTGAAATTCAAGGTCAGATCTGCAGAGGTATAAGGTTTTTAACGCTGTTTGTAGAAACACGATGATAAGAAGTCTTTATTTCTTTTCCAGAATCTGCGACTTTTTTTTTGTAACTGGACAACAGAAACGTTAGAAATGGATGTTTTTTTTGGTTTCCTACATTTTTTGCTTTATCGAACTCCAATTTTTTTTAGTAATTCATTCTATGACTTCAGATGCCATTGAGATTTTAGCCGTTTTGATGTTGCGCATAATGGGCATTCAGAGTTTTTGGTCCCGTACTTTGTAGTCATTTTTTAAAAACTGAGTTTTTTTTAAACTTTTTAGAAAACAAGCTGGCTTAAGAACTGACTGGATGAGGAGTCTTGTATTCCTACCTTCTTGTAGGCACATAACAAATGTGTTTTTCGGTAGCAGAATTATTCATATTTTCTTTTAGCTTATTATTAATTTTTCTAATATTATTATTATTAATATTAAATATTATTAATTTTTTTTCCATTCTTCAATTACGGTGGAATCTTTTCAGTTTTCGAAGTCAATTGTATCATTTTTTGGTCCTTTTCATGTTTTCTGATTACCATCTCAATATTCCCAATACTTTTTCCATTCTTTTTTCAGTAAACATGAATTAGGACAAAATAGATTTAACCTTTTCATTACCTTCAATCTATTTTTGTTTTCTCTTTTTTGTTTCGACTTCTTAATATTTGTTTTGATTTTGGCAGACACTCAATTTTCTTTAAACTTTTAGCCACTTTCGTTTGCTTGAGCTCTTCATCAACATTTTGAAGACGGGCAATTAACGTTTTGTCATTCTGTCGTTGTTGAAGACTATATTAATCTTTGCAGTGGTTTCAGAGTTGAGGAAGAAAAGAAAAGTGCGGGTTTTGGCATTAGAATGGACTGCGCAAGTGAGGCTTCAGTTTCCCAAGGGGGATCTGATGGTGAAAATAACGAGACCAAAGCGATTTTTAAGGTCCCGCAGTCCCCGTCAGAAATAACTAATGAAAAAGTGCGATCCTGTTTTGGATCTAGTATTATTTTTCCTTAGTTTTCTATACCATTCTTCTTGTGGGCAAAATACATGGTTTACTTTTATATTCTAGTACTCGATTGTCTAAAAAAAAGCTTTTTTTCTGGGAAGTTCGTGGAATTTTGCTTGCTTTTATTTTTGTCTAAATTCTCTAAATTTCATCTTTTTTGTAATAAAAATTTTTTTACAAATGTTGTTTCACCGTAGCAATTTTTCGGTGGTAAGGTGTAATGGATGCTTCTTGTCTTAGCAGTCGTAGCTACAAATATATCAGCTGTTCAGTTCCACAAGCAGAAAAGGTTTCAAGGTAAGGTTATGTCTGTTTTTTTGGCCATTATTAAATCTTTTTAAAGTATTCATGTTACCATAGCTGTTCAGCTTAGAAGGAAATTTTATTTTTATATTGTTTGATGAGCCAAGAAAATTGTTGCTGTACATCTTTAAGGGCACTGAACGAAAATTACGAGGCTTGAATTGCGTGTTTCATAAACTTTTCTTCTGAAAAATCAAACGATTGCAGTCACAAATGATTACGTAGAAAGCTAATTGCAATAACAAAAATAATTAAGGAGAAACCCTGAGATTAAGCATTCTTGCGTTTGAGCGTTATGTTCCTTTGTTGAAAGAATAAAAGAAATATTTATTTTTCAGCCTTTAGTGTTTTAAGTTAATGCTTTTGTTCATTCAATAACTATTTAGAAATAGTGGATTAAGTAAAGGCATATGGTAACTTTGAGAGCTGAGGAAGATTACTTGTGTACGAAACATATAATGTACGACTGCAAAAGCGGGAAGCATTCGTTGCGCGAAAGAGTCTATGAATTTGTACTGTTTACTATGGAAAGCAGGCAACCAGGCAATAGTGAATAAACTGAAATTTACGAAGATAGGTATGGGGCTGTCTATCGCAAAACCCGAGTTTTTTCAGCCATAGAATTTTTTTTTAGTTTTCGTCTACTAGTAGAGCTTTCATTGGCAGGGTATAAAAGTTGCTAGGAATGATGCACTGTTGGTTGGACTCTGCGTCCTTGACTTGATAAGTTACGGGAGGTAGGAAGTTGTAACAGGGTGTTTGTAGTTCAGATAGGTCGGTTCTGTTGTTTGCAATTCCTTGATAACCCGTATAAGCTACTTATTAAAGAATATTTATTTGTCGAATTCACTCAATGGTCGTAAGTCGCATGCAGAAATTAAGGCAAGATTTACACGGAAAATATGTCTTTAAACTTCTTATAGTGTTATTTGGTTTAAGAATTAATGTAAGGAGATTATTGAAATTCTGCCTAACAGCTAACTGGAACTGGGAAACGTATTGAATAAGAAATTAATTGGTATCGTAAAATTTCTTCGTAAAACTGCTTTACAGCGCACATGGAGTGGTTTTAGACACTAGTGTCACTACTTAAGACTAGTTTTTGGGTTACCTTAGGGAAAATAATGAATTTGCTAAGTAAGAAGAAAGAGAGCAAAACTTGAAAGTTTTTTTTCACCCTTTTTTTTTTATTCTCATAAAAAATTGCTGCAATTTTGACTCAGCATACTTACGTGCAAGACACTTTTTCTTTTTGGATTGGAAGGTCTGTGGTTTTTAAAATCTTCATATACTTCTTTTAACTCAAGTTTTGTCTTTTTTGACAGGTGCAGGAAATGAAAAATCGTTTATGATAGTAAAAAGTAAAGTTACCAAAAAACTTGATTGGTATTTATGTCCTTGTGATTTGAAGAAACTTTGAATTTTTGACGGGAGTTAGCTCGAGAAAAAAGGAAATTTTTTTAATAGCTAATTAATAGATTTTGAGTGCTTTGCAAGGTGCTTATTTTTCTGTATAGCCGCTTTCCATTCTTTATATCTGGTATCAGTTCTTGTTAATCTTACGTGTTTAGTTAAAATAGAAGGCTTCGGGTTAAAATCTGTGTGTTTTAAACCCAGGTAACCATTGCCCATAAGGAAGACGGGAATTCCTTTTTTCATTAATAACTCTGAGAAGCAATTTCTCTGATGAAATATTACATTTTATTTGATGTAGTTCTCAACTTGACGTTATACTTGGAAGTTTTTTAGGACACCCAACAATCTACATCAGTTACATCTGCAATACCAGTTCTTGATTATTCAGTACCAGAGTGGGCTGCTGAGCCACCAGTTGATGCTGATTATGGCTTTGACATTATTAAAAACGGCCTTGTAGTCGAAACGCTAAAATTTTCGTCCAGAAAATCTACAACGTTTATTACAGTTGGTCGTCTACCATCATGTGACATTCGTTTAGAACACCCAAGCGTTTCTAGGTTTACCTGAATTTTTTAATTCTGAAGTAATGTTTGCACGTTGCCATAATTGGAAATAATTGATCTTTCGGGCTGAATTGGGAACTGAGTTCTGTGAAATCATGATTACGTTGTTTTTTCAAGTTTTTAGATACCACTGTGTGCTACAATATGGCAATGGTATCATGGAAAAAGCTAGAAAAGGATGGTATGTTTTCGATTTAGGGAGCACACACGGCACTAAATTGAACAAACGGCGCATTCCACCAAAGCAGTACATAAGAATATGGGTTGGACATGTGCTTCAAATCGGAGGTTTTTTATTTGAAAATCTGTTCAAATTTTTTTGATGGAGGAGAAAAGAAAAAAGGGCAGAAGAGAATAAGATTGAGAGAGGAAGGGAAAAGATAGTATTATTTTTAATTTTCTGATTGAGCTTACCTATGGAATTTAAGAATTTAAAAGACGACACTTATTTGTGATGTGTTCAGGAAGCACCAGAATAATGAATCTTGTTGGTCCGCCCACTGATGTTGAGCCTGAATGGGAGTATTCCCCAACAGAGATGAAGAAAATGAGAGAGCAAGAAAGGATAGCAAAAGAGAGTAAGCTAAAGGAAGAGTTGAACAAAGCACATCAGTCTTCTGAGTCAGGTATTTCATTCAGATTATGACATAACAGTTTTCATAAAATCTTTTGTTCATCTGGATAGATCGCTTCTTACAAACTTATAGGTTCAAACTGTTGCTCTGTAACTTTCTTTTTTTAAGCTATCGTGGGAGTTTCACTTACCAGGAAGATCGTTTTTAATTATGGAGAGGTCAGAGGAAGAATTGTTTCAAATTCACTTCATTCATTGGGCACGGATGTCATTTAGATAGTGAATACACGTGCTTCACTCTATGCCTCAAAAATTCTGTTGTTTTAACTCCGATGCTAGAGTTATTTTTATCGACCATGATACAGTGATTTAAACGGCGTATTCTAGATAGTTCAGCATGTTTTGGGAAAGCAAACTTACCTGCAACTAGTAGAAAGCTGTTTTACATGAAAATTGATTCCTTAAGGTTGTTGGTAGACAGAACTTTAATGGGATTTAATATCGCCAAATAGTCACATTTTTTAACTGAACTAGCGTAAGTCTTTGTTTTTAGAGTCTGATGAAGAAACATATCATGAAAGGTTGGGAAAGTACTTCGATGCAGAGGACAATCAAGAGAAATACCAAAAAGACCCTTTAAAGGTCCTTAGTCACTTCTTTGAAGAGGAAGGCTTTGACATGGAGTTCTCTTTCACCGAAATGGGTACTGGGCGAACTCACAAATGGCACTGCTCTATAGAGTTTGTTTCTTTGTTTTTGGCTTATTTTTTCCTGTATAAAGAAGAATATTTTTGGTCATTTTTCTGTTTTTATGCAGAAACTCCGGATTTTTTTGAATTTTTAGCCTGAATATGCCTCTGAAGTTTCTTCTCTGTTGTGTATTTTAGGTTGCCAGTAGACACAGCTACTGGTCAGTCGTTGTCTGCTAGTGCGTCATGTAGTGGAAGTAAAAAAGAAGCACAGGTTGCATGCGCTTTGAACGCTTGCCATATATTGGGTATCTTTATAAAAGTGTTTTTTTCAGAAAGTATGGTAATAAATTGGTGGTTTATTCCTTCAAGAGTTCACTCTTCTTCCGAGGTATTTATATGCATTATCTTAGACGCACAAGGAGTATTGTATCGAAGAAGTAATGTTCGGCGTAGGAAAGAGAGGGATTTGGAAGAAAATGATTTTTATGACTCTGACGAAGACACGTTCTTTGATCGTACTGGCCAAATCGAAAAAAGTCGAGAAAATAGACGGAAACGTGCTTTGGTGAGGCGACTTTCAAAAAATTAGCTCCATTCTTTTCCATTTTTTGTTTCTTTAAGATTGTTTTATCTTTCATGGTGGGGACGGCAAACTCTTCTGTTTGAAAATAGTTAACTTGTAGAAAGCACAAGGAAAACCAACTGAAGAAACTGAAACTTACGAGAGTCTACTCAGGAAAATTAGTGAAATTGAGGCGGAGATGAAAAGTCTTCAAGCACGGCTTCTTACCTTATCCGGTAGGGAAACGAGAAGGAAAGAATTTGTCGAAGATGATGATATAGATGCGTTTTACAAAGATATTATAAGTAAGGAAACAGACGACCTGACAGTAAGTGCAGGATTTTTGTATTCTGACGTTATTAATTAGTGTTCCTAAGATCTCTCTTTATAGACCAAAACGGAGAAGTCGCAGCTACGTTTACAATTAACTGAATTAAAGCATGAAAAAGAAAGAATGGAGAAACTGGCTAGGATTGTCAAGCCTTTAGAATTGCCTAAGTTAGAACCGACTTCTCAGGCTTCAGGGACAGAGAAGGTGAGAATTGAAACGCTTGTTGATCTGGTCATATTTTCTGTATGAATGGATATTGTGTATGTTTTTTTCTGTTTTCAAATACCCAGTCATAGGGGATAACGGCGAATGCAAATAAAGTTTTTGCGGCGACAATGAAGAAGTTAGCGCAGCTAAGACGTGCTAAGGCGGTAAATGCTGCTGAGAATCCAAATGAGGGAAGCTCTGCGGTTCAAACGGCTGACGATGTATTTGTTGCTGAAGAGGAAGATGATAAAAAGTCAGAGTGCGATGAAACTCCTAGAATTTCGAGTCTTTATTCCTCAAGATCAGGTGACAGAGCTTCACCTGATGTTTCGGTGAGCAGCTAGTTTGGAATCCTTGAGAAATTACCACACGTTGTATTTCTACATATACGGGAAAATTATATTTCTTCATATTGTTTTATTCTTTTACAGCCTAATGCAAATGAGCAAGAGGGAGAAGGTAGTTTGACGGCAGCAGAACTGCATGATGTGAGTGTGGTGCAAGAAGAGGATGACAGTTGTGCAAGTGGTACAGAAATTAGGAAGCAAACAAAACGCGAGGATTCAGCGGAGCTTGAAATTCGAACAAAAAGGCCTAGAGTACGAACTCGGCTCAGTAAAGAAAGTGGGAAGGTTAGCACTGGGGATGCCACTAACCGTTTAAATGTAAGACTCATGGTTTTAGAACATTATTTTGATTTGCTTACTTTTGTGGGGTAATCGCTTCGTTTCCGCTAGTATTAATAGTTTCTCTCCAAGTTGTTTGGGCACAGATTTTAGCAGTTTTCTGGTCAGGACCTCTGAATTACGTTTTTTGCTTTTCAAA